TATTAACACACTATTTTACTTTATATAATATCTAATATAAATTAACCTTTTAATTAACCCTACCGTTCTCCAAATAATACACAAAAAATATCACTTTTTCTACTACTTTTACTATTACGAATTGCGTGTACAGTGCAATCAACACTAAAGGTTATAACATGCTGTTAAACAGTCTACTAAATAAATCAACTGTTTTTTAGTTACTTTCTAGATGTCAATAATACACTTCATCCTATGCCATTCTTAGCTTTACAAGGTGCTAGAACGATTTCAAGTGTATTTGACAAAATAATTCATTCTACTGTCATTCATTCTATCATTCTACTGTCATTCATTCTATCATTCTACTGTCATTCATTCTATCATTCTACTGTCATTCATTCTATCATTCTACTGACATTCATTCTATCATTCTACTGTCATTCATTCTATCATTCTACTGTCATTCATTCTATCATTCTACTGTCATTCATTCTATCATTCTACTGTCATTCATTCTATCATTTTACTGTCGTTCATTCTATCATTCTACTGTCATTCATTCTATCATTCTACTGTCATTCATTCTATCATTCTACTGTCATTCAATCTATCATTCTACTATAATTAATTTCAACAATGTGTTTAGGAATTTTTTTAATGTTAATTTTGTCGATTTGTTTTTTGTGTATCTGAGCAAACATGTTGTTGTTCAGGTGATTACATCCAGTTTGTGACCTAAACCATGTTTTTACTCTTCTCATTACACTAAAGCTTCTTTCGCATGATGATGTCAGTAGAGGCATGATGTAGAAAGGCTTCATTAATTTGTGAGTTTGTTTATTGGCGACTTTTGCAGTTGGCATGAAGTTAAAAATATCTGAATTGTTGCCACTCTGGGAACATTCTGTATTTTGATTGATGCAATAGCATTGTACAGGGTAATATTTGCTGGTAGCCCCTTCAACTCAACTTTTAGTTCCAAGATGTCAACATCATTAAAAAATGGCATTCCAAATAAAAACAGTGGGAAATCTTGATTATTCACCGATGAAATCAAAACTTCTTCTATATTTTTACAGCTGTTAATCCATCCTGTTCAAATCTCTCTCAAACTGTTCTAAATAGTAACAATTGCTTCAAAACAAGATTTCCTTTGCTTTTGTTCTGTTTTGACAGGACCAATCAATGTACCACCCAATGTACGCTTCTCAGTATTTACTAAATCGCGTAATGTTTTGGTATTACTCCTTAATAATTTTAATTAAAACGGGGGCTTTAGCTTTTCGATAAAAATTTTTTAGTTTAGAAAGAGTAATTGTTATTAAACTGTCGGTTATTCTTTTTCAGAAAATTCACCTATAATGTGCTGACACGGTACATAAACATGACAAAAATTTTGTTTTAGGTATTTATAAAGAGTAAAAGCATAATAACAAAATTTTGTAACGTCGACGTGACGTATGTCGATATTTGTAACGTCGACGTGACGTATGTCGATAGCAAGGAGAATAAAATTTAATATTACATATTTTATTTAATTTTGAATTGATTTTTGGAAACATATTAGTTCTAAACGTGATTGCGATTTACAAAAAATTCTTTAACGTCAGTATTTATCTGAGTTATTTTTGAGTTGCCCCACTGCTGGTTATTGATTCTGGGCTTTATTTTTCTTTTCAATAAAATATTTTTTAAAGTTTCGTTTAAATCAATTTTCAACTGTTTTCTCTTTAAATATTTTGATAAAAAGTTATTTTATTACCACTTATCCCTCCTATTACCAGTTCCAGTTCGTAGATATTGATAATAAAATAATGATAATGAAATGTTGGATAATAAAATGCTTTTAAAGCACAAAAATTTACTATTCCTATTTCCTAGAAAGGGCACATTAAGGCTACACCTGCCACCCTAGCCAAAAAGGCAGGTGTAGCAGTTGCTACCCAAGGCTACCTCTTTCCGGCGTGCCTGATCAGCATACATTTTACACTTCGGTGAAAACTCATTCGGTAAGTTGTTTATATAAACAGTAAAAATAAATAGACTCAAAAAAGAGTCTTGCGGTACTCCACTTTTAACTGGAGACCAATTTGAAAATTCGCCGTTGTAGAAGACACGTTGCACTCTGTTTCATTCAAAAATTTTGCACTATCTAATTGCTATAGAGTTGAATTCATATCTTTTTAATTTAAGACACAATCTGTTGTGAGGCACGGAATCGAAAGCTTTTTTCATATCTAGGAAAATGATATCTACTAGTAAATTATCTTCCATTGCCTGAACTATTAGATCCATATATTCTATAAGGCTTGTACAACAGTTTTTTTTTTTTAGAAAATCTATGCTGTTCCTCAGTCAAAAGATTGTCATTTTCTAAATGTGACATAAATGTAGCTTTTAAAATACGTTCCATTACTTTACTTATAACTAAAGTAAGTGATACTGGTCGATAACTTGATGGATCCAATTTATCTCCACTTTTAAATAATGGTGTTAAATTTGCATTTATCCACACCGGTGGTATTATTCCAGTGTCATACAATTTATTAAAAAAAGGTGATAAAGGAAGTGAAAACGGTTCAGCGCAACACTTAAAGGAAATGAGTGAACTTCATCAACTCCTGTACCGGTGAAAATGTACGGTCATCACATATAATGTTTGTCCTATTTTCAAAGAATGGTATGTAATGGTATATTTTCAAAGAATGGTTTTTTGTTATTAATTTTCTTGATGAAAACAGAGCTAAAATGGTTATTAAATGAATTTGCTATTGATAAAAAAAACTTGTTTCAAGTTCGCTGTTTACATTTAACGCATTAATTCATTCTTTAACTTTTGATTTTTGTTTGTATAAATTGCTTTTAGATTTTTTTAACGTTTAAGGCGATGGTTGTTTCACATATTTTAATTTGGTTCTTAATTTCTTTTTTTACCTTACTTTCTAACTGATTTGTATTCTAATACATTTCCTTTGTTTAAAAAATGGCTGTGTAAATATTTTCTCCAAGGGATTCCTTTCCTTATAGTTAACTTTTTTAAGTTAGAGCTAATCCAAGGCGCTTTAGTTTTAACAGTTCCTATTGTAATTGTTGGAATATAAAAGTCTTTTATATTTTAACAAATATGTAAGTGTCAACAAATTTGTTTTATAAAACTAGCATTGTATTAAAATTAGCATCTAAATTTTTTGAATTCAAGATGCCAGTCATAGCTTTTTAGCACATAAGAAAACCCATTATAATTGGCGTATTTGTACAGTTTGATTTTTTTTTACTGTTTCCGGTTTTTTTTTAATTATTTCTAAATCAAAACAAAAACTATATGATCTGATGACTGTGACCGTGATTGTAAAGTGCACCCAACATATCAAAATGATTCAAATTAATTATTCTTTTGTTTGATTCTGTTAATATTAGGTCAAGAACATTAGTGGATTGAAATTCATTAATTTGAAAAGTTGATTTAATTACGTTTTGCGTTATAAAACATTTAAGCATTTTAAAAACTCTTGAACAGAAATATCTGAACTATTAATAAGTTTGCCGATGTTTTTTTTATTCCATTAAATAAAAAAATAATTAAAATTAAAATTTAAAGTATGAAAATTAATTTAAAGATAAAATACAAAATCCTTCTTCTAATTTTTTTAACTGCAATGAAACCAATTTAAATTATGAACATAAAACACAAATTCCTTTATGTAATCTTACTAACAATGATGTAAACAATTTGTTAGATAACCCTGGAATGAAATGATGTATTTCTAAAAGAATGCTGAAATATTCTGAACTTATTTATGTAATAGTTACAGTTCTATATTAATCATGTTTTGTGATTCAGTCTTTAAATGATTCCGTTCAACTCAATTGATTAGACTCAAATGATTCTTGTGTAAGTTACTTATAAAATTGACTAACAAAGACAAAATAAACCAAAATTAGAGTAAGTAGAGTAGAGTAACTGGTTTGCGAAAATTGTTTTATTGCTTAACAATCCAGTGCATAAAGGACAAAAAATGGAGATTCTTTCTACATAGCTTCTATTAAAACATACGTGTTATGACGTATAAAACCAATTGTATATTCATTATGAAAATATTTTATAGTATTTTGGTGATGATAAGTTTATATGAACCCAGACTCTTGTTTTTATTGAGTTTAAAAAAAAAAGATGTACGTGTTCAAAGTTACTTCTTTTGCGTGGTAACTTTTAATGACAAAATAAACAAATATTATATCAAACATTATGGTTAAATGTTTTTCTTTAAGTTCAATTATATAAGAGCTAACCTTAATTTTTATTAATTTTCAGTAATGTCAATTATGTAGAAAAGAGTTTATAAAAATATCAAAAAACATTTAAAGCAACTCTGAGTTATTAGAGATTTGGCAGGAGAAAATCATAGGTTATGGTTTAGATGGAACATTTGAATCATTAAATCCTATTATCTTAAGAAATAAGAAATTTAGGTTCAAAAAAGTATTTTTGTTAAAGAGTACCTAAGGCTTTTTTTTATTAAAACTGCGTTTTTTCACATTTTGGAGAAAATCAAAGAACATAAAAAAAAAGGTTTAAATAATTTTTTTTTACTTAAAATTTTCAAATTTAAAAACTAAATAAATTTAAGAGTAAATTTAAAATTTGATATAAGAGTGTATAAGAGTGAATAACTTGATATTGGTAAGTAACCAATATTAAAAAAATAATACAGTAAAATATAGAGCTTAAATTATAAAATATTGAAATAACAATATAAATAGTGTAAAATAAACACTTCTCGCTAACAAAAATTAAAAAAATAATAATACTTACAAAAATAATTAATAAATATCCTACTTAGGCTGTCAATTTTTAGGGAGTGAATAACTGCAAGTAATAAAGTATTTTTACGTTATTTTTTTCAGATGAAAAAAATAACGATTTTTTGAAGCATAAAAATCAAAATATTAGTACTAATACAAAATCTGATCAAAAAAAGGCATTAAAAAATTCCAGGTGGTAACCTTCTAATGCTCATATGAGCAGACGTAAGAAAAGTATAAAAAATTTATAATTTGTAAATAAGTGTATTTCTATACACTAATCTACAAATTTTTATTATAACACTATATAAAAAATTTATTTCAAGTTATTATTTTTAGAAGAAAAATTTGTGTTAATAGAATATTATAGAGGAAATGGAAAAGATTCTAATTTAGTCACAAGTGATATAGTTTTCAAAAGCAGGATTTCTAGTGCTAGCTGTGCTCTATCATTTAGTGCCGTAGCTTATGATGGCTATAGTATACAAATATTTGCTTACTTTTTACCCCCAGATATTGGAATATATTATTTTATAATGAGTTGTCAGTACTATGGCTTGATGTATATTTCTACTCCTGGAAAACAAGACAGAAGGGTGCTTGTGTGGGGCACTGGGTAATTTTATAAATATTTTTTTCTTAAATAAATTTTTACTAAAGATTTTTTTTATTTTGAATTTATTGAGGTATTTTTTACAAAAATTTAGAACAAATTCAAAGTCGGTATACATGGAAAAAAACGAAAAAAAAGCAATTGAGATTGTCTCTGGTGGTCACTATAATAAAAGCGCAGGTCTTATTACACTAGGTGTAACCTTACCTAATGGAACACAGTATTCAGATATTCCTAACAGCTTTTTTGATTCTCTATTGTAATCTAAACTTTATTAAAATGTTGTTAAATGACTGACTTTGTAATTAATATTTGTTTTATTTGAAGATTTAATTATTTTAAATACTTTTAATAAACTTATAATAAATTATTCTTAAGACAATAATTTTTTGGTAAATAATTAATTTTTTAAAGCTCAACTTTTATGATTAAATGCTCCACTTATTGATCTCAAAATTTAAGTAAAATATAAAACTAAATATATTTTGAGATCAGTGACTCCACTCTGCAACGTAGTGACTCAAAACAACAAAAAAAGTTGCAATAAACCCCTCACAACATTTTTATAAATTAACTGCCTCTTTTTTAATAATATTAAAAGTATAATAATATTAAATTTATTTTAAAGCTAAAAGAAGTTACAAAATTTAAAATATTTTCAAAAAATCTGAAAATTGTGAGATTTTTATTTGATTAAAATAGCGACTTTAATTTTAATAAAAGTGCATATTTACTTTTAAAATATTGTTTTAACTCTATACATTTTATTTTAGTTGTTTTGATAATATAATTATACTGAAAAGAAAAAAGAAAATCTCATTTATTTGTTTAAATTAAAAAAAAAAAAAAAGTAGCAAATATATGTTTTTTTTTTGGTTAAATATAAAAGTGTTCCACCGAGTTCTAGGAACATATTTTCCAGTTTGTTAACATTTCTACTTTTTTGAATATAAAGGAATTACTGCGGCAAAATTACAGCCTGATTGGATAACTGGTGTAGAATTTATTGCAGTTTTAGTTGAAGTTTTGTCAGTATTTTGCTACTTATACCTCAAAGCGTTTTGTCAGTTTTTTGCTACTTGTACCTCAATACGTTACCGATTATTTTAAAATTTAATCATTTTTTTTGAAATAATGGCTACATGAGTGTTCTACTATGTAATACCAACAATTTTTGTTATAATTATTTTATCGGTACATGTACAGTTTTCATTTTATAGACCAAAATAGTGATTTGCTACTTAAAGCGTGATTTAAATAGTCTTATGCTAATAGTGTCGACACGGCCTTCAAAGTGGAGGGGGTAAGTCTCTCAATTTAAAATAAAATCCATAATTTCTAGAATAATTGCCTATATTTCTAAACCAAAAGGTCCTCGCAAAAAAAAGTGGGCAGGCCATGACTCCCTTGACAGCCATGTATGCTTCGCGTGAATATACCATCGTTTCCTAAGGTATTAACTACTGTCAGAATGCAAAAAAATTCTAAAAAAATAGTTAAAAAGGATTTCTAGGGGTACTTACATAGAAAATAAATATATTTATTTATCTGAAAACAGAACAACTGTAAAAAAAACAAATATTTTTTAAATTGACAAAGATAATTGACTTTAAAAATTTTGATAAGTTAACTAAGATATCTGACCAATAAAAAGTTTGGAGGGCCAGTCGGAGAAAAATTACTCTAACTGAATAACTAATTAGGTTGAAGGGTTGTTTTAAAATAAAACAACCCGTGTGACAAGTATCATTAGTTTAATAAGTGTGACAATGATCAATAATGTAATTTCCTTACAAGTAAATAGTTTAAACAATTGTGTCCTGGTTAGGAAAGAACTATTCAAGAATTATTTCCTTGCAATTTAGTATCTCAATTAAATCAATTTTAGTATCTCAATTAAATCAATAGGAAAGAACTATTCAAGAATTATTTCCTTGCAATTTAGTACCTCAATTAAATCAAGTAAATATTTCCTTAGTAAATATTTCACTTAACATAGTAACATATATTAATAATATGTGTTACTATGTTAAGTGAACGGTTATCAAATATAAATTTAGGTCAAATTTTGTAAAAGGCAGAGTTTGATTTAGTGAAGTCAAATTTAGTGAATTGCCACAATGCTAAATCAAGCAAAGAATCATGATGAATATCGAAAGTTTGTGTGCTTGCTCTGTCTGAAAAATGTTTAAGACTTACTAAGTTTCAAGCAGATCGAGTATGCCAACTGTACAAGACCAAGATCAATATCAGTGATACTCGGGTACCAAAGGGTTCTGTGAATGGTGTAGAATTACTTTGCGCAGGAAACAAGAGGGGAAAGCAGTTCCACTCCTTTGTTAGATTCTAAGTCAATACAAGTTTTTTTTTTTAATTTATTTTTTATTTAAGTTTTCATGCTATGTTTTTCTATACAATGTTCTTATATCTGAAGATATTGTTGGCTTAGCATAGGAACAGCCACAAATAGTCATTAAGACTAATCCAAAGTAGCGTCCGTTATTGACCAACATTTTTGCGTACCGAAGTACTACTCAAACGCTGAGTTGGCCGTGGCGGGATTTGAACTCGTATCGTTCAACAGTCCGGGTTTTCACTTTTCCTTTAACTCTCTAACCACCTGAGCTATTCCGCCACAAGTGAGACCTGAAACAAGAGGCACGATGTGTTGTTGCCTAACATGCCGAATTCAAAGCTGCAAGAAAAACATCCTCTTATAGAGCAAACCACTATTGAGAAAAAGCCAAAGGTGCGTTGCAGCAAATGCCTCAGCCCTTTAGGAAAAGGTTTGCTCCATCAATCTTCTCAAACAATGTTAAAGAAAAACATTAAATCTTTAGCAGCAAAAGATGCCAAATAATCCGAACAAATCGCATCTCGAGTTATTTCCAATAAAGAATTATCTCCGGAAGGAACTATTCTACTAGCTAAAGCATCCGGCGGGCCTCCACTTACAGTTACCCCTGGTAAATATTTATACTTGAATAATTTTAACATATATATTGAAATAAAGTCTTGACTATTAAGAAATAACACTAGATAGATTTCAAGAAGTATATTTTTGACAGTTATTCACAAACTTACTAAACAAAATTTATTGTAACTATAAAATATGTATGTTATGGTTTTAGATCAAAGTAGTGAGCAGACACCATCAAGTGCTCCGAAACTGACCACTGCAGCCCTTGTAAAAGTCCAATTAAATACAGGCCTGTCAAACAACGGATTAAAGAAACTTGTTAGAACTGTAAATAAAACATCAAGCAGCAAGATGGTATAGCGAAATTTCTACATGAATTTTCTAAAACTAGGTCAACAATTGAGCGATTTCTTCACCTGCAGCGACTTAAAAATCACAGAAGAAAAAACAGATTCTTGTTCAGTTCATGTTGTTGCTCATTGCAATGATTTATCAAGTCTTGTGAATCGTGTTATTCAGTCCCACAAAATTTCTGGTGACTATTTTGTTAAACTTGGAACTGATGGTGGCAAAGGTTTCTGAAGTTTTGTCTAAGTATTGTTGATACTGCGTTAAGGGATGAAACCAGCTCACCGCACCAACAACAACCTCTCACTCAAAGGACTGGTAAAGACACTGGAGTCAAGAGACAAGTTATTGTTGGGGTTTCAGAAGATTTGCCAGAAATAATTTAACTCCATTTGCAATTAATGCAAATGGAGTTAAACTAATTTTGGCTTGTGATATGAAAGTTGCAAATATAATTTGTGGTCTTCAAACTCACTCAAGCACGCACCCTTGCACCTGGTCGTCAAATCCAATTGTATTGCCAAATCTGGAAACTTGCAAACACTGGGCTCAATTAATTTAAGCCTTGAGTATTTTCAGCAATCTTACGGGGTTGTTGCTAATGCAAAGCTGTTTGGCAATGTCATTCGAAAGCCAATCATCTGCAGGCCTGTCAATGTTCTGATTTATGAAATTATTCCACCGATGGAATTGCATCTCCTCTAAGGAGCTAATGATAACTGGTGCAAGCGTTACACCCAAAATTCACTCCGTCTTCTACCACATCAAGGATATCATCAGTCACAAAGAATCCCCCTTGGGGCCCTATAGTAAACAAACTGTCAAAACTTCTCATCAAGATTTTTATCAACATTGGTCGAGTTATAAGCGAAATAATAATCATCCAGAGTACAAAAAAAATTGTTACGCTGCATAATTGATCTAAACAGTAAGCATCTTTAAAGAACATCATTTGAGTTATTAGAAAATAGTTTTCACTTTATTTTAAAAGTAAATGTATTTAAGGAGGTCAATACAAAAATATTTTAGAAGATCTACTTTTTTTTTGTTTTACTACTTGGTAGTCTTTTGACCAGGTTTTGCTCTTTTTTTTTAGCTTTATTTTTTGGCAGCACTTTATACCTTAGGAAATGTTGGTATATTCAAGCGCAGCATACATGGCAAATCACTATTTTGGTCTATAAAATGATAACTGTACATGTACCAATAAAATAATTATAGCAAAAATTGTTGGTATTACATAGTAGAACACTAATGAAGCCATTATTTCAAAAATAGTGATTGAATTTTAAAGTAATCGGTAACGCTTTGAGGTATAGGTAGCAAAAAACTGACAAAAATTCAACTAAAACTGCAATAAATTCTACACCAGTCATCCAATTAGACTGAAATTTTGTCCAAAGTTTGGTGTGACTATTGGCTATATTTGCATCAATTTTTATCAAATTATATTGAGTGTTTCGAATTCTCCAAGTGTTTTTATTGGCGCACTATGAAGTAAAAATTTGACTAAATTTGAACATTTAAATTAAATTATTTTCCGCGGACAAAATTGAATGATTTCAAACTTTGCATCACAGGGTACCTTGGTGTGTACGCTGACTTTCCGTATAAGTGGCGTTCTTGGGACAGCTAGGTAGGCATTATAAGGATAGTGCTAACAGTGATAATATCGGGGTGTACCGGAATGGAAATTTCGAAATTCCGGCCTGACGCCGGTATTTAAAATTTCCATTCAGATTTCAAAAAATGTATTGAAAGTTTTAGACCGCGTAATATTTATATTTAAAATTATTACTTTATTTTTTATTTTTCTATTTAAGCTAAAATAAAAATGTTTACTGTAATAGGCATCCTGTGTTTTTAAACTATTCAAAACTTGAGTAACATTTAAAATAAGATTATTCTCAGATGCAGGTAACATTTTTAATAGAAAAAAAGCTAGTTTGTTGCCCAAAACTGAAAAGGAACTCTTTTTGTATCACAATCTTTCTAAACATCCAGAAATCCTTACATAATTGT